CACCCCCAAACCCCGGCATCCTCCGGTCTCAGCCACCCAGGAGGTGGCCAGCCCCATGGCCATGGCAGCCCTCTTGCCCACCCTGCGCCTGCTGCTCGTGGTGGGGACGTGGGGTGAGTACGGTGGGGTGGAGGAGGGTGGGGAGCTCGGGGGGGGCTGTTTTATGGGGGTGCTGCACCCACCTTGCTGGCAGCTCCGGTGCCAGGGATGCCCAGGGATCCCCGAAATCTCATGGTGGAACCTTCCAGTTTTCCTGCTGCTGGGTATATTTTGGGGGTGGGGGGGCTCAGCCCCATGTCCTTGGGTGCCAGGGGGTCCCATGTGCCCACCCTGGGCAAGCCCCAGGCACGGGGGCTCGGACCAGGGTCAGGGATGGGGGGTGGTGACCATTGTTGGAGGCCACCAAGCTCACATGGCCAACGAGGAGAACGCGGGCACCTCTCGGCCGGGGCCACCGAGGTCTGGTCCCCCCAGGTCCAGGGGTCCCCAAAATGCTCGTCACACCCCAGGAATGAGCTGGGGGGCAGCCAGCTGTCCCCCCATCCTCATTCCCTGCTGTCCCCAACCCTCCCTTGATCCCCATGGCACGGCCTCCGGCTCACAGCGGTGATGGCGGCACCATCCACTGCTTCTTTGGCCTTACCTTCCCACCGTTAATGATGTTGGCTCGTTAGCAGTAATTAGCAGGTGCCCTTAGTTCTGCCTTCTTCCAGCCATAATTAGCCACCAGCCTGGCAGGGAACGCTGTGGCCAGTAGCATGGGGTCGTTAGGATTTATTTTAATTAAAGGCGTGAGGAGGAGAAGGAGGAGGAAGGAGAACAAATTCACCCAGAAAACCCTAAATTGCTCTTCTATCACCAAGGAAAAAGCCATCAAGACCCAGCCTCCTCCTCCTCCTCGGGTCCCCAAGGGGTCTGGGGACAGAGGTGTCCCCATCCCCGCAGAGCCACCACCATCACCAGCCTCTTTCCACCAGCAGCATCTTCACCCTGGCAAATAGGCTGACCTGAGCTGCCAAAAAGCACCTTTTTCCACCCAAAATCAGCAGCGAAAGGCCAAGGGGTCCTGCTTCCCCCTGGGGGGCGAGGAGCCGGACTGACACCTCGTGTCCCCCCTCCTCTTCTCTCTTGCAGCCATTCCTGGCCACCGAGGAGCCTCCTTGACCCCTGAAGGTGAGTGTGGTGGGGCCAAAGCCTTGGAGATGGCGCGGCGGCCTCGTTAGCGGCTCCTTCATTAGTGGGGCCGGACGCCGGGTCACCCAACTCAGCCCCCCACCACCCCGTTTCCTTCTTGCCCCCACTTTGCCCGTTGTGGGGACGTGCCAGCGCCGGGCACCCAGGAACGGGCAAAGGCTGGGTGGTTGGTTGGTCTTTTTCTGGGTGGAAAAAGTGCTGCGAAGGGAAGGAAAACCCCTAAAAACTGTGTTTTTCCCCCCAAGAACTCAGCCTGCGGCTCAGCGGGGGCGGCTGTCGCTGCGCCGGGATGCTGGAGGTGAAGTGGGGAGGCCGGTGGAACCGCGTTTGCCGGGACAACCTCAACCCAACCAACTTGAGGGGCATCTGCCAGCGGCTGGGCTGCGGCCCCCCCACGGCCCAGCCCCTCTGGCTCCTCTCTCCTGGCAAGGAGGAGCCACACGTGGGGCAACTGAGGTGCCAGGGGTGGGTGGCCCCCTTGGAGAAGTGTCACTGGGTGCCGGACAACTGCACGGAGCACGTCATCCTCACCTGCAGCGGTCAGCCTGGACAGCCCCCCCTTCCCCACCCCCCAAACCCCAATTTTGGGGTCTCTTCTGGCCACCCCCCCTCCATTCTCCGGGTTTTTTCACCCTCTTTTCTCATTTCAGAGCCGGTGAAAACCACCCCCAAGCCCCCAACGACTCCCCCGGCCACCACCCCGCAGCCCACCGGTAAGAGCCCCCCCATCCCCCATGAGGTAGCCACATCTTAATAGCCCTTTGCCCCACATCGATGGGGCAATTAAGCTTCAGGGGTGAGAAGCTGGGGGGCTTTCTGCTCCAAAATGGAAAGAAACACCATCTTAGTGTGTAATTTGATGTTTTTTTCACCCCCCCCTCATCTTTGTCCTTCACCAGGACCCCCCAGCCTGCAGCTGGTGGAGGGGAAATTCGGCTGCTCGGGCTTCGTGGAGCTGCACAAGGAAGGGTTGTGGGGGGCGGTGGGGGGCAGCCCGGGGGTCTCACCCCATCTGGCCACCCAAATCTGCCGCCATCTGCATTGTGGCACCGTCGCCGCCGTTGACCCCCGTGGCTACCCCGAGCCCGAGCCGGAGAGCCGCTTGCCGGTGCGGTGGGAGGTGGTGGAACCCTGCGAGAAGCGTCCCCTCTTCGACTGCTTCAACAGGACCAGCACGTGGCTCGGGAGAAGGCCCATCTTCATCATCTGCTCTGGTGAGAGACCCCCCCACTTCCCACCCCAGCACCTTCCCTGGAGCCCTCGGCAACCAACTGGGCTACCCCGCTGTGCTCCATGGCCACGGGGTGCTTTTTCCCCTGAGAAAGCCCCAGGTCACTGGGCTGGATGGTCGGTGAGGGCTGAGCAGGGTGACAGCCATGAGCATCTCCCTGTTGCAACCATGTTCCCTGTCTCCCTGCTGGGACCATCTCCCCACCGCAAAGACCTCCTGCCCTCAGCATCTCCCTGCCATGACCATCTCCCCATCGCAACCGTGTCCCCTGCCCCAAGCATCTCCCTGCTCTCAGCATCTCCCCGCCATGAGCATCTCCCCGTTGCAACCATCTCCCCACCATGACCACCTCTCCACCCCAACCGTGTTCCCCTGCCACGTCATCTCCCTGCTGTGAGCATCTCCCCATCACGACCATCTTCCCATCATGACCATCTCCCTGCCCCAAGCATCTCCCCGTTGCAACCACCTCCCCGCCATGACCATGTCTCCATCCCAACCATCTCTCTGCTGTGACTCTCCCCACCATGAGCATCTCCACATTGCAAGCATCTCCCTGCTGTGACCATCTCCCTGCTGTGACCTTCTCATCTCCCTGCCACCAGCATCTCTCTGCCTTGACCATCTCCCCTGCCGTGACCATCTCCCTGCCAAAGTGTCCTCCCTGTCTCTCTGCTGTGACCCTCCCCACCATGACCATCACCCCTGCCATGACCTCCTCATCTCCCCACCGTGACCTCCTCATCTCCCCACCACAACCATCTCCCCTGCTATGACCATCTCCCTGCCATAAGTGTCTTCCCCACTGCGACCATCACCCCTGCCTTGACCTTCTCCCCTGCTGTGACCTTCTCATCTCCCCTGCCGTGACCATCTCCCCTGCCATGACCTTCTCCTTGCCACCAGCCTCTCCTCCTGCGAGCATCTCCCTGCTGTGACCATCTTCTCTGCTGCAAACATCTCCCTTCCACAACCATCTCCCCACCCTGATCATCTCCCCACAGAAGCCCCTGGTTCTGGCTCCCCAGCAGGCAGAGCCGAGCCGTGGGGCGAGGAACGGGTCTTGCTCCGGGTCGTGCCATCTGTCCCAGCTTAGAAGCCCTCCTGTGGGATTTGGGGGGCTACAGGGGGGGGGGGCACAGCTGGCAGAGCAACCTTCCCCACTGCATTCCCCATGGGGACAGCTCAAAGCTCCTCAACGTGTCCCCCCCCCAGGGTCCCCACAGCACAAGGGGAAGCCCCGTGAGCATCCCTGGAGAAGGAGGACCACACGGGATGCCCACCCCCATCTGAGGTGTCTCCCCATGGATCTGAACCCTCTCTGCTTCTCTCCCCCCCCAGGATCCCCCCCTCAGCGGAGGCTGGGGGGCGGCCCCACGCCATGCGAAGGGGACATCGAGGTGTTCCACGACGGCCGGTGGCGGGTGCTGTGTGACGAGCGGGGGCAGCGAGCCCAGCGGGGCCAGCAGCTGTGCCAGGAGCTGCGCTGTGGCAACCTCTCCTCCAGCGCCGAGGTCCGGGACCCCCCCGCCACCGGTGTCACCTGCAAGGTCCCCACCCTGCACCTCTGCTCCACCAGTTTGGAGGGTCCCCAGACCTGCTCCCGGACCAGAATCGTGTGTAAGACACCCTGTTGGGCTTCATCCTTATGGTGGGACCATGGGGTAGGGGACAGTGGTGGCCACAGCACCCGGTGCCAGGCGTCCCTTGATGCCAGGAGCTGGGATTTCCATGGGTGAACACCCCAAAAATGGGCAGAGGGTGCGAGCTGGGGGTAGGGGATGGGGAAAGCCTCGTTGGGAGGGGGGAGAATGTCCTCGCAGGGTGGTGGGTGCTCAAGGGTGACACCCGTCCTGTCCCCAGGCCAGGACTCCAAGCCGCCTCCCGTTGGCACGTCGGCTGGCACCATCATGAGCATCTGCCTGGCCCTGCTCCTCTTCGGCGTCCTCTCCCTCATCTGTGGCCCCCCCGCCTACAGGAGGCTGATGAAGAGAAGTAGGTGACAAGCTCTGGACCCCCTCTTCCTCTCCCCTCTTCCTCCTCGTCCCTTCCTCCTCGTCCCTTCCTCCTCTTCCTCCTCCCCTCTTCCTCCTCCCCTCTTCCTCCTCCCCTCTTCCTCCTCCCCTCTTCCTCCTCCCCTCTTCCTCCTCCCCTCTTCCTCCTCCCCTCTTCCTCCTCCCCTCTTCCTCCTCCCCTCTTCCTCCTCCCCTCTTCCTCCTCCCCTCTTCCTCCTCCCCTCTTCCTCCTCCCCTCTTCCTCCTCGTCCCTTCCTCCTCGTCCCTTCCTCCTCCTCCCCTCTTCCTCCTCCCCTCTTCCTCCTCCCCTCTTCCTCCTCGTCCCTTCCTCTCCCCTCTTCCTCCTCGTCCCTTCCTCTCCCCTCTTCCTCCTCTTTCCTCTCTCCTCTTTCCTCTCTCCTCTTTCCTCTCTCCTCTTTCCTCTCTCCTCTTTCCTCCTCCCCTCTTCCTCCTCCCCTCTTCCTCCTCGTCCCTTCCTCTCCCCTCTTCCTCCTCGTCCCTTCCTCTCCCCTCTTCCTCCTCGTCCCTTCCTCCTCGTCCCTTCCTCTCCTCTTCCTCTTTCCCCCTCCCCTTCCTCCCCTCTTCCTCCCCTTTTCCTCTTTTCCTTCTCTTCCTCCCCCCCTTGCAGCTCCGTGCATCCATCTCCCCCATCTCCTTGTGGAAGAGAAAAAGGGGGGGGACAGACGGACATGGGGAAACGTCCATGCCCGCGCTCAGCCCCACAGATCCGTCCCTCACCCCATTGTCCCCCGAGCCTGCCCCACATGGCGTGGGCACAGAAAAGGTGGGGATTAAGCATTGAATGGACACAAAAGAGCAGGCGGGGGGTCTC